ATCATTAAGGTTGGAAAAGACCTCTGAGATTGAGTCCAGACATTAACCCATCACCATGACCATGGCCACCACTAAGCCATGTCCTCAAGAGCCACATCCATGTGTTTTTTGAACACTTCCAGGAATGGTGATCCCACCACTTCACTGAGCAGCCTGTTCCAGGCTTTGACAAAAGAACTTTTGATAAAGAACTTTTCCCTAATATCCAACCTGAACCTCTCCTGACTCAACTCGAGGCCATTTCCTCTCATCCTGTCATTGGTTGCCCGGGAGAAGAGACCGATCCCCACCTGCCTGTCCCCTCCTGTCAGGGAGTTGTAGAGAGCAATAAGGTCTCCCCTGAGTCTCCTTTTCTCCAGGCTGAGCCCCCTCAGCCACTCCTGGTGCTCCAGACCCTTCCCCAGCTCCATTCCCTTCCCTGGACATGCTCCAGCCCCTCAATCTCCCTCTTGTCATGAGGGGCCCCAAACCAAACAGTCTCAAACCAAATGAGACACACACTGCATGAAATTTATGTCACTGCAGAGGGAGGAGGAAGAACAGTGATGTCTCAGTGAAGTGCATGAGGTTTGCAGGCTGAGCTCAGAGCTCCAGCCCCACCACTGCTGCTCTGCACTGTGGCTCTGAGCACAGCTCTGCTGTGCCTCAGTCTCCCCACCTGCCTTTCAGCCCTGGTGCTGCCTGCCCGTGCCTCTGGCTGTGTCTCATTCCAGGCTGCTCTGCAGGCTGAGTATTGCCAGAACATGTGATGGGCTGTAGTGGGCAAAAAATGGAAATAAAAAAATAGAAGAAAGTAGCTCCTGGGGGTTGCTGCACAGCTCAGAGGAAGGGCCCATTTAATTTTCAAGCCTGTCCCCCGAGGCCAATGCCAGGTACTGAGACAAGATACAAGAGTACCGTAGCAGGGAGCAAAGCTGTAATTTGCACTCTGGTTCCCTTATCCATTAGCTCCTAGCTGGCATTTCCTTCAGCAGAGAACTCAATCAGCTCCTCAGACAGTGTGCCTCTGGTGATGCTGCTGGTATCCTTCACCTCCACTCCCAGGGCACTGCAGGCAAACATTTTCCCTTCTTTATGCACCCCAACGTGGTCTCTGTGGCAGAGCCCAGCTCTGCACAGAGCTGTCTGTCCCCTGTCATGCACGGGCCACTGGGCTGCATGGCCAGTGCTTATTTATTTCAGCAATGCCAATACAGAGTGTAAATAAACTCATTTAATTCACACTGCTCTGCACTGGTCAATTTAGCATTTCCCCTGGGCTCACCCTGTGCCACCTCTGCCACACACCGAGAAAGGCACTGGGAGAGAAAGAAAAAGAAAATGCACTGGAAAACAAAGGAAAGAAAGAATTTCACTGACCACCAGGTACAAATAACTCCTCCTGGCTTTGCTGCCCCTGACTTGCACGGGAAAACAGAGTCTCATAAATCCCCAAACACTCACTGTGCTCCTCCAGGACATCCTCTCCCACCTGCCTTCCCCTGCTTCCCAGGACAAGTTCCTGGCTGCCAAATGGGGCCAGCAAACTCTGGCAGCAGGGGATTCCTGCCCACCTGGCAAGATGGGCTTAGCTGTGAATTCAGGCTGCTGTTTTATGCTCAGGTGAGCAAAACAATTTCAGAGGAAATTCCATTTTGGCTCTAAATCTTCCCCTCCCCAGCACTGTTCAGACACCAGCATTGCCCGTCCCAAGGACAGGAAGGCTTTTTTTAACACAGTTACTCACAAAAATTCAGCAACTGATATGGAATTGTCAGTCCTGCCCACTACATGAATTATGATATGCTGCATGGTACTCTGATACTCCCATCAGAGACAGGCAGAGGGCAGATGCCTCCAGATGTATGTAATTTTTAATTTCCTTTGCTGGGGAAAATGTTTTCTTGTTTTAGTGATGTATGTTCAAAGCGTTCCAGTTCCCATGGCAACTCTCTGCTTCCACTGGAGATGTCATTTTTCATGCCATCCCTTCAGAATTCGACATCTTCTCGCAGAAGTTTTGAAGAAATGTCTCTCTTAAATATATATTTATTAGAGACAGTGCCCGAGAGTGTGTTTTATTGACACGTTTCTTAGGTGACTCAGCCTACAGAGAAGAAAGCTGTCTCCAGAAATATGCTGCCTGCCAATCTGCCTTTCCTCAGCTTCTGTTTTCAAGCACAACTCTCCCTCTCTTTTTCTGCCATGCAGTTATTTGCCAGCACCTGCTCCCTTTTATTTTTCTTTAATTCCTTTCTGTTCCCATCACTCTTGTCCATGCCCAGCATCTGCTTCCCCCCAGGTTTTTTTTTCTTTAATTCCTTTCTGCTTGCATCACTGTCGTCCATGCCCAGCTCCCCAGCAAAGCAGGGGAGTGCCAAACTGTGCCAAAAGTGTCTGTGCCCATTCCCTGCTGCCGCATTTGCACGTAGAGAAAACCCCAAAGTACTGCAAAATAGAGACTGCACGAGCCTCTCCATCCTGCAGCAGCAGGAGCACCTGCAGCCCCCTGGATGCTCTCCCTGTTCCATCTGGCTGGAGCTCCTGGGGTGCCACGTGCCCCTTGGGAAGGGCTGAGGGCATCAGTGCTTATCCTGCTCCCCAGTGCAGGACCCTGGGCATGGGGCTGCCATCCTGCCCGGGGGAAGGATTCCTGCCCCAAGTGTTGTTTATCAGTTTTTGTGGCTCGTGGTGTTGTGGGGCCTCTCTGTGCCCCATGGTGTGGGGCTGAGGGATGCTGAGATGGAGCCACCTCCCTGTTTAACCCCAGCTTTCCCTGCCCCACCAAAGCACGCTGCCTGCCCCTAACCATCACCCCCAAACCCCTGCACCCCTGGTTCTGCAAACCCGTGTGGGGAACGGGAGATGTAACCTCCCTCACATGGCAGCTTCCAGAGATTTTTCACAAGACCTCAGCGCTGAGTTTCTCCTCCAGGCTACAAGGAGCCCCCAGCTCTGCTGCCCTCTGGGATAGGGCAGCCCCCAGGCCCTGCAGGGCTGCTCAGATCCCCTCACTGAGCAGGATCCCAGCCCGAGAACCCTCACTTGTTTCATGATCAGCATCTCCCGGCAGCTCCTCGGAAAGAGGCAGCACCGGTGCCGCGAGGATCCCGGCGGGAAACCGCGCAGGAGATCCTTAATAGAGCTGTAACGTTACAGCTCCAAATTGCCTTCCTCCAGGAGACAAATCCGAGCGAGGAAATTGGTAGGAGCTGAGCAGATCTGGAGGCTGATGGAGCTAATCCCAGGCATGTTTAAATGCAAAGGCCCAGGGAGCCTCACTCAAACCCGACGCGAGCGCTGGAGCTCGCTGCTGGGTTTAATTCTCAGGTGCAGCCTGCTCCGAGGGGTGGGAAAAGCAGAGAAAATCAGAACACTGGGAGCAAACATCACACGCCAGCTTCAAGGTCAGGACCTCAGCAAAACCACGCACCAGCCAAAGAGCAGCTCCTGTTCACCCCATTTTAGAAACCACATGGATAAACATTGCTGTGGTCCCTTGGAGGAGTTTAGAAACATTTTCAGCCTCAAGCAGGGACACACAGGCTCAGGGGACACTTCTTGCTGACTCCAGACTTCACATTAATTGTCCCGTCCCACCAGCCATTAATCAAACGTCTTCCACTTGCATTTTTATTGAAAATCAATTTAATAAAGTAGGTGGGAGTCCGCACGCTTCCATAACATCAGATAAATATTCATGGGCGCTTACACTGCTTTAGCTAAATGAGTTTTTTAAATTTAACTGGTGCAATTTCCTTGTTCCTTAATATATGGCTTGGCTTGCCCTTGTTCAGGAACAGAGATGAGGTGGGACTAGCTAACTCACAGGCACACCAAGGAAAACTCCTCTGCTCTGGAGCCAGAACCTTTGGGCAAGGATTATGTCATCAGTAATTGGAAGTACCAGTGCTGGGGTCAGCGTCACCTGGAGCAAATCCCCAGAGCTGAGGTGGAATTCCAAAGGGCCACTTGGAGTTGAAAACTCATTTTCCACCACTGAGAGCATGGACCCCATTTTTACCTCAGCAGGTGTGCCCTTTGAATTCCACTTTTCCCTCCCTGTTTAAGCAGCCATTGTGCTCCAGCAGCCAAAGCTAATGAAAATCCTTGGAAAATGCACCCCCCTGATGGTTACTGAAGGAGGTTAAAAGGCTTCCAGCTACCAAAACACACCACGCAGCAGGGAAACACACCCACTCAGAATTTGAGAGTCCTTGGAGAAGGGATGAGCACCAGGATCAGCATCACTGAGACAATCTCCACCTGCAGCCCTGGGGAGGGCAGGTTAACCCCAAGCAAGGCTCCTTGCTGCAGCCCTTCTTCCTAAAGGCAGTTGTCAGAGCCAGATGGAAGAAAGGCAAAGCCTGACACATTGATCAAATTTAGGAGACAGGCAGGACTCAGGCAGTGCCTATCAGTGAGAGATTTTACAGCGTCTAACAGCTCTTAGTTAACTGGAGCAGTGAGGAGCTGCAGCTCCCAAAAAGCAGCAATGCAGGGCAATTCAGCCACTGCCAGGATTGCTGTCATGTTATCCCAGTGATAGCCTTCTCTTGAAAGGCAGTGCTTTAGAAATCCAGCACACCATCACTTTGCCTTTGTTATTAACGCAATCTGACTTGTTTTCATCGTTACAGCCCCGACCTAATTCCCCGTGCACACGCTCCCTACAGCAGCCCAGAGCCCCGGACAGGATTTGCTTTCTCTGTGCTTTCATGACATGAAGGTTGTGACTGGCCCTGCAGACAGGCACAGAGAGTCTGAGCCCAGGGACAGGGCATGGAGAGCCCTCCCTGCCCCATGCACTTCCACCGAGAGTCACACTTCCACCAAGAGCCACACTTCCCGTGCTCCAGCTCCAGGGCCTGGGTGGTGTGAAGACAAACGGGATCCATGAAGTGCCACCATCATCATTTTCCCTTTATCCCCAGCAGCTACAGATGCAGCAGAGGTGGGCAATCCTCACTTTGTGATGTCACGAGAGTCTCGTTGCTCAGTTCCTCCCATAACACAGCAGGGCCAGTTCTCCTGTGAGCCTCCCAGAGCACTGATTTCCCTGATTTCCCTGCTATTAAGACAGCAGCCCTGCTCTGGAGAGATCAGCCTCGCTGGAGACAAACTGCCTGTCAGCAAACAGCACTAAATACAGGGTATCATACTCCACAGATGATGGCATGCTTTTAGTGTTTTCTCTCTTGGATGCAGGTCACACCACTAATGTCATCTCCAAACACCGAAATCCTACATGTGAAAAGGTAAAGCTTAATTGCCTTGAACAGCAACTCTTGTATTGACTCCAACATAAGGCCCATAAATATTAATACAGCTATATTTAGCCCCTTTCAATTATACATACAAAATTGAACATCTTTCTGGGAACAAATCAGTCCGGATAGGGCTTGGATATTTTTCCTTTTCTCTTTTTAATGCGTTCTGCATCAAAATAATAATAATTCCAATGAAACCAAAGCTTTAAAAATCCCAAAACAACAAAACCAGAGGATGGAGGCAAAGTCTTAAAGATGTTTTTCTGGCTCAACCAAACTCACTGGGTAGGTGTCAGAGGCACTTGTTAGTTAGAGCTCAGCCCTGCCCCACCTGGTTCCCATTTATTTGTTGACTCAGTCCCTTTGCTGTAGGGCAGCAGATGGGCCCTGCTGAAGGTGTGAACCCAGAGGGACACACAGGGGAACTGCTGGGACAGGGATGCTCGAGGGAGGTCCCATCCAAGCATGGCCATGCCCACACAAAGCCTTCTGCAGCTAAAGACCTTCTCCTTTGTATAAAAATCACATCCACTTTACTGATTTGCAAATTAATTATACATCGCTTCCCTTGCCAAAGTGGACTTAATGGTATTGACATTACATGACAAAGAGGAGCTATCAGAAAGCTTCTCTCATAATGATGGCTAGATTGATCAGGGAAGAAGAAAGGAGATTTCATGCTTTTATTTTTTAACCCTTCCTCCTGAAAGCAGACAAGGCCCTTTTCTAGGAAAAGGCATTTTCAAATTCTCAGGCAAGTCCAGGTGCATCTCTCCAAAGGGAAGAAGAGCTCTCATCTTTCATGCACAAAAGACTGGAATTCAATTCTCACATGTGCACAGACCCTTCACAGAAAACACAACTTGAGGGGGAAAAAAACCCCAACATGGTTTACACCTTCATATTTTGCAGGATGCTGGCCACAGCTGGCTGATGTGACATCCACATGATGAGATAAGAACTCAGATGAGTAAGTATGAATGCAGGACAGCAAAAAAAACCTGATCTGGCCTATATGGACACAAAACTTCTTCAACAAGAGCTCTCAAGGATGCAGCAAGCCCCGTGCGGAGCCTCTGGCACTGCTTTGGGGGGTTTGTTATGGTCCTCAGACCCTTTCCAGAGCAAAGTTTCTCATATCAGAACTGATCCTTCCAAACCAGAGCTGTGTGAAATGGTTTTTGCGACACGGAAACAGCATCTTGGCTTTTCAGACACAATTTATTTTGCTCCAGTCACGAGTTGTTCCATCCACTGACTCAGCCTGAACTTTGTCATCAATAGGATTTTGCAGCAGGTTGGGAGAGAGGGGAAAAGAAAAATCATATGCTTCTTCCATGCCTGTTATTCCCAACACTTTGGTTCGAATTATATCCTTCCAGAAGGTAAAGAGAACGGGGCGTCCTTTCCTCACAATGCAAATTGTAGATTAAAATCCCTCTCTAGACTATACTCTGTGCCTATAATTGTCAGTACTCCACAAGCACTCGGGGTTTTTTTTAATAAACATTAGCTGCACATCCTTCAGAGGTGCATTTTTAAAGTTAAGTTACAGGTTAGTAGATAAAGAAATATCACAGGAAATTCCTGCTCCATCAGATGAGGGTTTTGCCACTTACTGCAACAGGGAATTTCCATTTGACTTTTAACAGTCTTTGCTTAAGAGACCCTGCACAGTTTAGCCTCAGTCTTGCAGCACTCCCCAAAGCCCCATGCATCTTCCAACCTCACAAACGCTCCAGTATTTTTATTTAATCAAACAATAACCTTTAAATAAATGGAACGGCATTAAGAAGCTAACAGGTCTGAAGCAGCAGCATTAATCCCCCCTCCACAGGGGGCTCAGATAGATGTGATTTGATTGCTTCTTCCAGATGGATCAGGGCTGAAATTCACCACCAACACAATCAATGACTTTGCCTCATCAGACCTAAACAATGCCTCTATATTACTACATGAACTGCTGCAAACATTTTATCCTCTAGCTCAACAAAATAAAAGCTGCAGTTTCCTCAGTATTTGACCAGTTGTTTCACCACCAACTTCCCAGAACAAACCAATTAAAGTTGTTTCTGTAACATCCAATAAAAAAATCTTATTTCTCAATCCATATCAAAGCCACATTATAAATCCTTTACATGGGACTGAATGAATGGAAATTCTAATAAAGGAGAAGCTGCCATAGTCCAACAGATCAATAAAGACATCCTCACAAGCAGTTTATAGCCATCTATAACATCATCTACTAATGTTCTTAAACCCATCTAACACATGTTCAACATGCTGAAACATCAGCTATCGCCTTCCAGAGTCATTATAAACAAACACCATCATCCCATCTCTGACACATGCACAGCTCCCCCTCGGGCAGGGATCAGCTGCCCAGCGTTCACACTGCTTCACTGCAGGTGTCTGAGCCAGAACTGCAGCTCTGACATGTTACTCCAGCACATATTACTGGGGCAAAAATCCCCTGCAGATGGCTTTCCTTTCCTAGAAAAATGTCTTGCACCCTGGGGAAAATCTTCTTGCCTACACGTGTGGGTGCACGGCAGGGTCAGCAGCTCCTCGCTGAAAACTCACAGCCAGGGAAGACACCAGTTGAAAAAAGGCAACCACAGGAGCAGGAGGAACACCTTTCCCTTCTCAAAAATCACAACCCACAGCCTGGGGGCTTGGTTGGGCTGCTCTGGAGAGCCCAGAAGAGTGCCCAGCAAGGACAGCTGGGGATGGGCTCTGGCCACACCACTGCCCTTTCAGAGGTCAGCTGGGCATGGACCGATACCCCCAAAGTGTTGACCCAAAGCCAGGTGTTTCACACCAAAAGCAATCGATCCCCTTTCACAATGGGTTCCCGACCCCTCCCGAGTGCCTGTGACATCCCTGCAGCTTTGATACAGCCTTGTTGCCCTCAGCACATTCATAACTTATTTAAGAGAAGGCTTCCACCCTTAGGCACAGCTGTCAGGGCTGTGTTCCTCGCCTGCCCTCTGATGTGTGCAAGGCTTTTCACACAGAGCTGTGCACCAGGGGTTTAAACAGCAACACCACCGGGAATTCTGTGCCAGAGAGGAGAGCACCAGGGCTCTGCAAATCCACAGTGAAGCTGTCTTTGGAGAGCTTCCCCCGACGGGAAGACAACCTTTCTTTAATTTGTTCACAGATCTTGACTTCAGAAGTTTGACAAGACAGAGCAGGGTCCCCGTTGCCCAGAAAGGTAAACAGAAGGAAATGCTGTTCAGGCAATGCCTCAGCTTCAAATTAAAACTCATCAAGGAAGCTCAGACAAAGACAAAAATCTGAGATAAGACATGGATTTTGTTTTTTTTCCCCTAAGAAAGCATCACATTCCTCCCTGGAGTAATCAATACAAAGCATGAAGTCAGATCAGAGAGAAGAGATGAGAAGTGGAAGAAGAGTGGAAGAGAAGTAGGAAAAGTGGAACATTAAGACAGAAAAACAGACTAAACACAGACCTGAAACCCTAGAAATCGTAATAAACCACAGAGGACAACTCTGTTTGTCATCTCATGTTTCTCTCACACAAACAGTAGGTCTAGATAATGTTTATGGGGCAGCTTCAGCACACACAGGTCAAAAACCTATCCACAAGTGAAAAGGAAAATTTCAACATTTCATCCAGATTTTAGGAAATAAAAGTTCTGTAAACTTCAGTCTGGACAATTTAACACTTTTTACTACTGATATAGGTTATTTTCACTGCAAAGGTATTTCTTGTTGGATCCTGCCAGGCAGATATGGTCTCACTGTTTCATTTTGGAAAGCACTGTACTTTCAAGAGAAGGCAGTTCTGTTAATTAATTATTCTATTTCAACCCCTCTGCCTTAATGCTCCCACAGTAACAAACAAGCCCTCACCTGCAGGAGGTCAGGCCAAAATGACAGATGCACTGAGATATCACACACCAAACATCTCCTGGGAATGTCTCAACCTAAAGGGGGCATGCCCTGAACCCAAATTCAAAACCTCTTGGCCATCAGCACTTGAATCAGTGAAATACAGGTGGCCAGGCAGGGATATAGGTGTTCCTCAGGAGCCATCCTGCCAAACTACACCATCATAAAAAGAGCAGGAAGAAACATTACACCACAGAAAGAGGAAACAAGAGAAACTCCAACTGAGGTGCACTTTGCTGACAAAACAACCATGGAAATACAACAGCAGGATAAATATTAACAGGTGGCTTAGATCAAAACCACTGGCAAGGCAGAGCTGACACAGTGAGGATAGATAAAAGGTACCACAGGCCCAGGAGGGCACCCCTGATCTGAGCTGTGAGCAGCAGGCCCCGACTGCACCAAGTCCTGCTCGAGCCCAGTGTGGGCTGGGAGGTGCTGACACCAAAGAACACAGTGGAGAAGAGGAAGAGGAGCCTGGGTTGCTTTCACCCTCTGGATATACCCAGCTGGGGCTCCCCTCTGCCTGGATGGGACCACCCCAGGGCCAAGGAATGTAATTTACCCTGTCCCCAAGGAAGAAGGCACCCAAGTGGTGAAGGACCTTGCTCTGCCTGGGGAATTGTGTTGCTTTAATCCAGATGCCTGTGTTTGCTGGTCCTGCTAAACCCCATGGACACTTCAGGAGGCTTCCAAACCTCAGCTGTCCAGAAGCCCCTGGTGCAGAGCTGGTCTGGCAGGGTGCTCAGCAGCCAGCACCCCCTCAGCAGGACTGAGCTGTTCAGGGACTCCAGAGATGCTGCAGAAGCTTCAAGGAAATACCATGAGTTACCTTGCCAGTCATGCTGCATCCAGGAGGGATAACGCTGATCGATCCCAGCCTGGCTGCTTAACATGGTACAAATTGCTTTTTAATTGCAATTGGAGAAACTGGCTTATCTGGGATGTTTACAACTCATCTTTTAGAAAACTGAGCAGCCTACTCTCTTCTCTTCCTTGGGGCAAAATCTTTCTCTCCTGGCATGCCCTGGAAAAGCCCAGCAGTTTTCTGGAATGCTTCCCAAGCACTCAATGCAGAGACTTTGTCCAGCACTGCTCCAGACGCCCTCTGGGTTCCTCACCCTTACCCCAAATGTGCCTCAGGCACAACCCTGGCCCTGTGGGGCAGCCAGTCTCTGGCTCAGCTAGAAGAAACCCGTGCCTTGCTTTGTAAACAGCTGTGGAAAGGTCCCACGTGCCTCCTCCTCGAGCAGTAAGCTGCTCCCTGATAGCCCGACATTGCCAAAGCATATTTAAAGAATTCTCGAGGCTGTAAGGAAGGAAAAGCCTGGAAATGTCCCCTCCTGGCCCTGCCCAGGCATTCCCAGGATGGCTCTGTTTCAGCTGCAGCACAACAAAATGTCATCAATTAGGAAATAAGGTAGAGGGGGTACAGCTGTCCAGGGAGCACCACTGGCCCTCAAACCCCCAACCACTGTGTCCTCCCTCGTGTCGCTGTGCTGGACGTCACACTGGGCCTGTAAGGATTGTAGGGACACCTGGGGTAGTTCTGTACATTTGTCATTCAGAAAGAATCACTTGTGGTCCCTTCTTCTGCATCCCACTCCATGAGCATCTCTTCTTTTTGGGCACAGGACATCTCACCCTTGCTCAGCCAATTCCACTTCCTTCTCCTGGCCACATCTCCCCTATCCTGCTCTTGGAAGCTCCAGGTGCACAAACGAGGCTCCGCAGGGAGTCCCAGCAAGGAGAACCAGAGAGCTACAGACAGACACTTCTCATGCAGCTCCTCCAGGCTGGGCACAGGATCTGTGTGACTTCACAGCTCCAGACCAAGAGCAGAGGCCCGTGCCATCCACAGAAGCTCTCTTGGGACATTTTCTGATCCTACAAGGTTGGCCATGACAACAGATGTCTCCATTCCCTCGGGGTCCATCGCTGTTCCTCTTCTGACTTAATAACCAATCTGCCCCGTGTTCTCCCAGGGGAAACAGGTTTTCTGCTGACAGCTCCTTCCTCTCCTCCCCCACTCTGAGTCCTAGAAGATGCTCTCTTTATGCAGCTACCTCTTCCCCAAGCCCAGACTATCTTTCAGGGGTCACAAGGCCAAAGAAAAGACTTGTCTCTGTTCCTAAGAGGAATCCAGCCCTGGCTCAGCTGGCAGAGACAGGGAGGGACCTCCTGCCAGACACTGTGACACAAATGGCTGTGTCCCCAGTGCTACAGGGTGTTACTGCAGAAGAAGGGGTCTGACAGCAACCTTCCCCTGCCTTTCTTCTTCTAAGCCAGCCTGGACTGTGCTCACAATCTCCCCCCACCTCAGGCCAGCACGGGCTCCTGGCTGGACTGGATGTCTCCTGTTTGGGGCAGGAGCAGCAGCCAGGCCCAGGGCCACCCTCACCTGGAAGCTGGCTCTGCAGCAGCAGGCGCTCCTGAGCAGCCTCAGCACGGGCTTGCTTCAGCTCGTGTCTGCAGCATCCTGGTAGGAAGAGGAGCTCTGGCATGGCAGCTATTAGAGTGGGTGGCAGCAGATGGTGAAAGCAGAGGGGATAAGAAAATAAATACAAAGAGGCTATCTTGAGGGGAGAAGTCACCACATTAACACTCTGTTGCTTACACAGTGTCTTCTCCCAAAGTCTAAACAAACACTGCTCTGTTCCTGGCGCACAGGAAGCTGAAGGAGGGGATGGGGCTGAGCACACACAGCACTGCAGAGCCCTGAGAGGTGCTGCAGCTCCAAACCCTGCTCAGCCCTCCATGTCCCAAGTGTCTGCAGGGGCATCTCATCCAGAACAGGAAAGCCAGCCAGGCAAAGAGCCTGCATGTCCTGTTTCACACAGGTTACACACAATTTAGGGAGCTCCACCCTTCCACCAGCCCGGGTGTGGACACAAGATCACCACATCTGCCCTGTCTGTGCACTGCAGGGTGTGGATGCACTTGCCTGACATCTTCAGAAGAGCAATGGAAGACATTCCCAAGGGAAATGGGGAGACTACAGGGACTGCCCAGTGCTGTCTTACAGGAAAACCAATGTTCCTTGTCCATCACCCAGATGCTCACCTGGAGCAAGACAATCGCTTTCCCAGCCCTCACACAGCCTTGGGCATCAGGAGCCTGTCTCTTGCTGACTGCCACCCCAGGCTCTTCCATTAACCCCAAACTCTGGAGTCTGCAGCAAGATAATTTCTGCTTCTCTGGCCACCAGCAGCAGTGGGAGAAGTCTTTCACCCTAATTCTCCTCCTGAGAGACCTCCAAGGCTTCAGCCTCGGAAAAAACAACTAAAAGTGGGGAGGGCCTGGCTCACCAGGCTGCTCCATACACAGAGGACAACTCACAGCCAGTCAAGAGCCCCCAAAACCTGCAGCCCTCATCAGCTCCCATCTGGGTCTGCCAGAGAGCCTCAGCAGGGGAACACAGAGGTGAAAGCAATCTTTAAACACACAAGGGCTGGCTCAGGCAAAGGCAATTTATTATGTTAAACACATTATTAAAGGATCTAAAGCAATGGAGCAAAGATGTTCCAGGAAAGGTTTGAACTTCCCCAGCAAGGGGCTCCTGGGACTCCTCTTGTTAACACTTAGCATGGGCTTGTCTGCAGCTGAGCCTACAGTGAGCAGAAATGCCCCCTCAGTCCCCGTGCAGAACTCGTTTCAGTTAAATCAATACAGCCATCGGGGAGACTTGAGGAAGCAAAGCTATTAGTAGGACCACAGTTAATTCTAGGGGAAAGAAACAAGCAACAAAAGCAATAAAACTGACTGATTGCTTATGCAGACACTGTAACCCTTTCCTGTCTGGGTCCTGCAGCACAGCAGAGGGGAGGATGCTCACTGGAAAAGCCCTTCCTCCCCAGGTTTGGCATGGTCTCAAAGGGCAGCTGCAGGGCAGAGGGCTGTGGCACAAAGGTGGACACGGGGCTGGGAGGAGGCAAGGCTGCTCTGGGGAAGGAAAGTGCCATTCCAGGAGATCCCATCAGCATGCAAGAGCTCAGAAAAGCAGCTATTGGCAGCAAGATTTTCAGAAAATGGGAGAGCATGTGGTGACTCCAGCTCTGGATGGAAATCATGCTCCAGCAGCACACCTTTGCTGGGCAGGAGAGCTCAGAGCAGTGCAGGAACATTCCCTCGGCAGCCCCAGCGACACACAGCTGTCAGCACCTGAGAGGGGCCACCTCTGCCACAGCAAGAGTGCACCAGGAAACCACCCAGGCACACATCTCCGTAATCTCATCTGTCTTCCCCACACATCTCCCCATTCTCCTGCCCCCTTAGATCATGTTGACTGGAGCTGTAGGCATTAGGTGGGAAGGTGACTGCCACAGCCTTTTCTTTCTGATGCATCTCAGACAAGTGTAGGAGCTTGCAGTGAAACTCTGCAGCAGCAGCAATAGTGGCAGCAGTGCCGAATGCAGCTCAGGAGGCAGCAGGGCCTGGGCGAGTGCCCGGTGCCCAGAGCAGCACGGGGGGAGAGCCTGCCAGGTGACAGCTGCATAGGAAATAACTGAGAAGATGTGGAGATAGAAGCTTTGTAGCAAAGCAAACTGACTAAAAAGCAGCACCAACATGAGGTGAGGGTTCTGCA